CCCTTGTGTGACCGGGGCCTTAGGTCAGGACAGCTGTTGTTGAAGGATGGTGGGAACCGTAATTTAGACCATTTTGGCCCAAACCGTCTCCAAATGCTGAATCCAACTTATCCTCCCCAGCAAGCCCTAAATTTTAGGGAAATCAAAATTTGAACACAGAACTGCTGTTGTTTTTCCCCCTTTCCCATTTGCTGCTCTTTGTTTTTCTTCCCTTTCTGGTTCCTCCTGCTTACATACCTTTCTTGTCTTTGGGGGGGGGGGGGGGGGGGGCGTCCCTGCTCTTTGTTTTTCTTTCCTTTCTGGTTCCTCCTGCTTACATACCTTTCTTGTCTTTGGGGGGGGGGCAGGGACCTCCAGGAGCTTGACGACAGCACCCAGCTGCCTCTCCTATGCCACTTCTCAGAGACGGCCGAAGGTCTCACTACCATCAGAGCATTCAGGTAGGCAAGTGACGGTCTCCCTTTGAATTAGTATATGGCACCCATCCTTTGGCAAGCCTGCTCAACTGAGGTTCAAGCTAGATGATACATTTACTGAGTTTTTATGAGATGCGTTCACATTTCCGTGAGTTCTTGCAAGCTTGCATTGCAGCATGATTTGTTGTGTAAGTCACCAACAGAAGGTGAACATGGGCTTAATTTGCAAGTCTAGTTGCTGAGATGTAGATTCCTGAGGAAATCATGTTCTGCGGGGAAAGACTAATCACAGGGACTATGCATTTTTCTTAGCCTCTAGTTTGATTCACAATTGTAAAGGAAGGGACTTTCGTTTCAGGCTACTGGAAGAAAACATGTAAGACGTGCAAAGAGAAGAGAGAACAGAACCCCTAAATCCACCCCCTTAGCCGGCATATCCCATGGTCATGCTGGCTAAGGAATTCTGGGAGTTGTAGTCCAAAAAACATTTCAAAATGTGCAGTCTAAATCTTCAACAGAGATACCCAGTGAATAGTGTAGTGAATAGTGAGGTGGGCTAATTCTCAGGAGGACTGTGTTCAAATCCACATTCAGCCACAGAGACTCACTGGAGGCCTGGGACTGATAAAAACCATTCCTTAAATATCTCAGGGCACGTCCAGAAGAAGGAAATGAAGTGACATAGCGCAACACGTAACACATGTATGGTACACATAATATGGCCAGTGCATCTCGTTCATCTAGAACAGCAATGCATCAATAGAAATAAGTATTTTTTTAAATTAAAATGGTAAAGTAAATGAAAACAGAGGAGGAGGGGTTCACTATTGTCCCTTTCAATACCACAACCCAACAAATATGTCACAGCGTTGTTACTTCAGATAATGCCAGCCACAGCTCTATTTTGGTGCAAACTAACCACCCACATGGGCTACAGAACAGGATAAAAAAACTGTAGCCCTAGCACTCAAAAAGGAGCAGGACAGCTCTAAAAAGGATGGATTGCTGTAAGTCAAAAGACGTCTGGATGCTGTTATTTGATTTGAACCAAACAACACCAAAAGGGATCTAATTAGCAAGCTATATATCCATCTGGATGTGTTCTTGTTTACTTTGAAAGCCCTACTAGGGTTGCTACAAGTTCCAACTTGATGGTGCATAACAACAATGAAGCCTTCAATATGTATTGTGTTGTTGTTGTTGTTGTTGTTGTTGTTTTTTAAACTTAACTCTCTGTTCTCACCTTAATTTAATCTAACCTCACTCAGTTTTATCCACTTTTTCCTGCCTGTTTAATAGACAACACCATATTCTTTCACCACAGGGCTTTGATAGAGAAAACTAACATTTACTGAATTAAGCCTGGTAGTGATTGTTTCCCTTTCTTCTGAGTTCATTATGTACCCATTGAGCAATAATGAACTCCCTTCATCCATTAACCTCAAAGTAGCACCGGCCAGTTAAGAGTGGGATTTGGGTGACCTTTTTGTTCGTCATCCGAGCAGGATAAAAAGTCTGGGATGTGCAGAAAAGAAGCGCTGGATGCAGATGAAACGATGCAGACCGAGTGTGTCAGAGTTTCCACTGTGGAGCGGTGGGGGTGGGGGGAGGCAGAGAGGGGGAGTGATGCTGCCAAAAGACAACAATCCAGGGATGAAGCAGACAATGCCTTTTTGCAAAGCTAGAATTGGGGGGAATGTGGCCCTGATGCTGCTGCTGGACTACCAGTCCCACCAGCCCTGGCCAGCGTCGCAAACAGTGAGGAAGGATGGGATTTGAATTGTGGGGGCCCTATTCCTTCTTGATATAAATCTTCTCCTAGTTGCAACCTGGTACTAGAGATGGGCACAAACTGGTTCGTGCCGGTTCGTTTAGTGGCCAAACAGGTGGTTCAGCACTCCGCAGCCGCAGCTCCTCTGGGGGCACCTACTCCGAGGCAGAGCTCAGAGGCACCTCCTCAACTAATCTTCCAGTCCCGGCAGCAGCTCAGGCTTCTATGCCCCGCCTTCTCGTCTGATCTCCCAATCAGAGAAAAAGGGCAGGGCAGGGAAGTCTGTGCTCTTGCTCCTGACTGGGAGATTAGCCGAGGAGGTGGGAAAAGCAAGCAAGCAAGCTGGCCTTGGTAAGGTGCTTGATCAACTGAGGAGGCAGGGGTGAGCAGCAGCAGCAGTACCTTTACGAGGCTGGTACCTTTACGAACTGGTTCATGCCCATATCTAGCTGACAGTAACCCTTTTTGTATTCACGAAGGCTTTCACGGCCAGGATCTACTGGTTGTTGTGGGTTTTTCGGGCTCTTTGGCCATGTTCTGAAGGTTGTTCTTCCTAATGTTTCGCCAGTCTCTGTGGCCGGCATCTTCAGAGGACAGCACT